TTGCTGCAAGTGCAATCCATTTCACAGGAGAGGAAAACATTATGGCCTGGCTCCTCATACAGTGGAATCGCAATGACATTAGTGGGAGCTTGACTGACTTAAGGCAGCAAGTTGTCCCAATAGCTCAAACAAAATACACTCATTTCCAGACTGAAGTCCTCCTGTGTTAGGTTCCAATTATTTTGTGCTGGTATATATTTTCTGATGGATCAAGAAATCATTAGTTATTACAAATCTTACCCAATATAATAAAGTTTGCATGTTAGCCTGTTAGACCTTCTGCTGCCTCATGCTACTTTGTGATTCTGATATCAAAACCAAAATCTGAAATTGTTCTCCTGTATTTTTCAGGCTATGTACAACCAAAATTGTAAAACCAAAATATTCCATCCTTTCAGAGCACAGAAGTAGCGTCATGTGTAACAAATGGCTGGTACAGTTATTTAGCTAAGCACTCTGAAAATTAAAATATTTTATTGGACTATTTGGATATCTTGTGTTGTGGATCTGTAGGTGCTCAAAGTCTGGTAAGAACAGCTTGCTGTTTGCTTACAGAACAGCCTGGTTTTCTATCTCTGGCCCATGAGATCATTTTAAAAACATGCCTTGTTTTTAAAATATTTTTTGGATGTGCACTGTACCAGAAAGTACTAAACTTGGTGAGGAACAGCAGAATTTTTACTTACAATACAAAGTATGAAACTACATCACAGCAAGCCTTAGGTACCTTACTCAAAACGACAATGGAAATTTGTGCTTTAGTGGCTGAAACAGACGGATCTTAAAATCTGTTATCAGCAACTAGTATTTTGATATTGGAACATTTTTCAGAAATCGGAAGTTGGCAAATCTGGATAACATATGTCCCCCTATACATTCCACTTTTTTCAAAGCATTTTTTTCTAGTTGTTTTAGAGGGAACAGGTACCACTCACAAACAGCAAGTGTAGTACCAAAGTTATGCGTTTCTTCCTGTTGCAGAAACTCTTCCACACGTGGGAAGGAGCGAGCTATGAAAGCCCATCTCGTGAAACCAACCTAAAAAGTACACTTCTGGTGTGGTCAGAGAACAGGCATGGAAGCCATAGCATGAGAAAGCAGCAGTACGTGTCAAGGCTAAGAAACTCCATGGGATTTATGTACCACTGATCCTATTAGGCATTTGGATTCAATTTGGGATTGTTCCACCCTTTCTATGGAAAGATTTGTGCCATTTTTGGTGGAACCCAGACCCAACCTTGGCTCTCTGAATGCAAATGAAGAGGATAAATGGGAAGTTTATCTTCCTTCAGGCAGACTACCATTGCTTCACATGCTCACACCTGACCCACTTCTTTTAAAGTACAGCATACCTTCCGCAAACAGAAAGACTGCTTATTTACAAGGGATGGTTGATTAGCAGAGTTGCCCTGGGCAGTAGGCAGCTAATGTTCAAACAGCTGAGCCCTTTGCAGTACCAAATTGTCTCCCATTAATCCCTAGCAAGAATGTGTCAGTGCACCCAACACAGAATCAGAGTTCAGCACTGTAGTTGCTTTTTGGAGGAAGTCTTTAGAGAAAGATGCATTTGTCAAGTGGAACTCAGAGGGAAAACGACGACCGCGCAAGCGGCTGACTTGAGTTATATTTATTATTTGACTGTCGAAGTAGCCTGGGAGAGTCTGTTTTTCTCCCTGACATTTGACTGTCTAGTTTGTAGGTTCTCTAGGATGCTATTTTGTAACTGATCCTAAGGAAATCATTGCCAATAATAAGCAGCAGAGTCCCCTGTGTCCTCATACGGCAGTTGCATTCCCTCCTCTGGCAAAGAGACCGCAGCAAAAAAATAACAGCTATGTACACGCACAAATGCACTATCACCTTACCCATCCCCACTCCCTCCATAGAATACATATCCCATACGGGCCGAGGGTGAGCCAGCGCGACCACCACCACCACCACGGTGGGTGCCGGCCGTCGTCCTACGCCCAGCCGCTCAGAAACCCACTGGCAGGCTGTTCACCGCCTGCCACCTTCCCAGCCCCTTTGGCCTTAGGAGGGCTGTGCAGGGGCACCCTCACGTAAGGCTGCCCGACCCCACAGTCCTGGGTTTTCCCTCACGCCTCTGCGGGTCACACGAACGCGTCCCCAGCCGTCATTCCGCATCCCTTCAGGCAGCAATTAAACCTGCTGCTTTCCGGACTGATTCCTTGAAGCCTTGGAGCTGGCAGAGGCAGGAGCAGGCTGCCCAGAAGGGCTGCCGGTGTTGAGCGGGGTTCGGGCCCTTCAGGGCAGGTCGCCTGCTCGCTGGCTGGTCGCTGCCTCCCAAGGGGGTGGCAGGAAGCTCACCTTTCCCCCAGCCACCGCGCCGGAGGGGAACCGGCCACCCTTCCCGCTGGGGAACCACTCCCTCACCGCCGAAAGCCGGCTTTCCCAGCGCCGGACACGGATTCGGCCGGGGAGCGCCCCCGGTGACCGCCATTCCCCCTCACCTAACCGTTTCCCCGGCCGGCGAGGCACGACCCCCGCAGAGGGCGGGGGGGCGGTCTGCGCCCCCCTTACTGCCAACAGCCGCCTCCCAGCCCCGCCAGGCTCCGCAGGCAGACGGACTCCACGCAGCCCCGCCC